ATAACCCTGAGATAACTTTAGACTTTTGATGCTAAGTTAGCCCTGTCACTGTGTGCATGTGTGCGCGCAGGTGGACTATCAACTGTTCCCCGGCATGGAGCTCACACTTCTGCAGCAGTAGTCTCATATTAAATATAAAAAAAGCAACAGCTAGACAAGGAGGCGCTAAGCCAAGCTCTCCTGAAATTGGATTGGACCCATTTTAAAGAGTGAAAAATACAAAAGTCATGTTCACATGAAGGAGGTTTGGCAGTAATTACTCAAAACATTGAACAAATGCTGATGTCCAAATCAAGTACTAGAGTACTTATTTGCACATCCCTAATTGATTTACTGTATTTAAAACATCAGAGGCAAAAGCCAGGTTTGGTGTCAGCGGCTCAGACTTTAAGAGAAGAGAGGATGCTTCCTAGAGACAAACATTTTCACACTCACAGCGCCAGAAAGTAAAGAAAAGGACAGTAAATGAAAATGTGTGAAAATCCTAAATTAAATAAAAGACAAGGCAAGGCAGGTTGATGGGATGGGGACAAATAGACATCACACATTGAAAATGCTATCTTAAAACAGCTGGTGGTCTGTATAAATATGTTAGAGTTGGGAGACAAGTGAGATAGAACAAAAGTAAGATATCTAGAAATAATTGACAGTTTTATTGATACATGGTTCAAAGGATAAATGATTGCATTACTTTCTGTGATACAAAAAACAGGCTGGAATAAATAAAACTAAAGACTTTGAAGAGGGCTGCTTTTACTATGATGAGGAAGCTGTGGATGTTTCCTCATTCCTTGGCCACTTGTGGTGGCAGTAAATAGTTTGGACAATTCATAACTGAAAAATGAGTTCTAAAAGTTTTTTGTTTTTTTTTTAAAATCCAGGACTGACTGTAACAAAAAAAAAAAAAAGAATAACTACCCTTGTATAGTTCTGTATTCAGCATGTTTTTTCCTTGCAGTGTGAAATGTCTCCACAGCACTTCAGCTTGTTACTCTTTCAGTGTTGCTATTTGGCTCTCTTCACTGACACGCTCCTCCTTTATGTTCACAACATTTGTTTCTTCCCCCTCTTCCTCCAGAGTCAGTACTAACCAGGACTCTTTGTGCAACCTCTCATTCCTTTCCACCTCCCTAACACTGGGTGGCAATGTCACCTGCATGTGTGCTGGAAGGTGCTTGAACTCTTCCTCGTTCACATCACAGTCCTTCATCTTTAAGTCCAGCACCCACCAGCGGCCAACGAAGCCCACATCTAGCATCCGCTCAGGGAGCTCCCTCCAGGGTACCGACAGATTGGAGCACTGGGCTTCATACAGTGTGGTGTCAGGGTCGTAGTCGGCACAGTACACCAGAGAGAGAAGACCCAGGCTGGCATGACGGAGCCGGCCCTCGTTACGAAGCTTTACTAGACTCTGTATGTGGCTGTCAGAGGTCCCGTTGCGTATCCATGGGGAAAGCAGGCCCAGCTGGTTGGAGCACTCCAGCAGGGTGGCTTCAAAGGACGAGCAGTCAGGTTTAGTGTAGAAGCAGGCCCAGGTCCCAGCAAGCAGTGAGGCATATACAGACGCTTTGACCGGACGCTCCCATAAACCAACAACCACCTCCCAGGATGCGTCTTTGTAGTCAGAGAACAGGCTGCGACACCACACACCTACAGACAGAAGGAAGGATGCAGCACAACAAAGGACACTTAGTCCTGTGCGGTGTCTTTAACACACACAATTCAAAGCAATTTCAAGAGAGTGGTTACACAGTTTGGTGGTGAAAACCCAGTTTCTTTGTCCTATTTAATGTTTAGCTATTTCCTGGACAATATTTTTCAATTTCATGGCATTAAATCGATCCTCAGACTGAGCAGCACAGTCTCACAGATTCTGTTCTTCTCTCTGACTTTAAGGGAACTAAATATGCTGTTGATAAAAAAATAAAACTGGACACCAATTGTTTCTGTAGGTAAGCAATATTACAGGAGAGGGTGTGCTTTAACGTTATTTGTTGTACGACTGATGTGGTCAGGACCAAGGCACCCAAGGTGCTGTATTTATGTTGAGGGGCTCTCAAAATAAAAAACTTTTTGTGACTGTTTTCTCCATTTCCATGGTGTCCATCCTTTCAAAAACAACTTTTTCCACTGTGGTTACACTGTGACTGTCTGCACTCCAGCGGAGCACCTGCACTGACAAATAGCACCATCAATTATATTCCTTAAAGAAAGTTGATTTAATAAAAAATAAGACTAACTCATTTAGTTCGACAAATTACAAAGCCTAAATAACTATGTTGGTGAATTTCTGCAAATGCAGTGGTTAAGTTCAAGTTCTGAAATGGTTTTATTAAAGTTAAGTGTTTTATAAAAGGGTTCCTATAACAGCTGCAACAGCCACAAACATCAGAAGCATTTGTTAGTAGGGATGCACCGATATAGACTTTTTTTCAACTGATACCGATAACCAATCGTCTAGTCACCTGCTTCTCATGGCCTATAACTGATAATTTCACATTTTTGTATTTTACGAAGTGTATACTCTGTAGTTGATGTACACCTGAGGGTAAGAAAGGCTAAGATGTGGTGAGAAAATATGGATGATTTAATATTCCATAGACCTGACCTAACCACATTAAAATGACATCACTATTGCTAACACAACAAAAACAAACAACGGTTCTGACTCTCCCAAACCTGCCAACATCAGGCTGTGAAAAAGAGGGAGATTTTCTGGGGTATTGTCAAATACTCTCAATGTCCCTGCCCCATATAACCCTACACTACAGATGAACATGAGGATGTGAATGTAAAATGACTTTTAATCAGAGAGAGAGAGGGAAATGATGAAGCCCAGTGTTACTGTGCAATTCTCTGTTGTATCAGTAAAGTGTATAAACTAAACTGCAGAATTGAGTCTCTACTAACAGAAACAAACAGTGACAGGTGACTCATATGAACAGGTTGAATGCACAACAGCAGGTCCTCTTTACATCTGGCATGAAATGAAAACATGAAAAGTTTATATCATCACGCTGCATTTTTATAAACACACCCAGACGCCATCTCAATGTCCCATGATAGATTAGCCTACAACTACCAAGTAGAATAACGATGTGCTATTGATTCACCTCACACATTAACACTCAGCTCAGACAAACAAGCTGCTGTGTCTCGAACACACACGCAGCCAGAGACAGAGATGTACTCCAGACTGGGTTGCCAGGTATCAATACAAATAATCATTAATTGTAGCATCATATGGCTAGCAGTTTTTCACAAGTTAAACAACAGTGTCAAGTCTTTTAAAAGCTTGTTGTTGGATACAAGCTGTTGCTGCTAATTAGCTTGTGCTAACAATCTGGAAACCATCCCTCAACACTGTGTCTTAACCTGGGTCGGGCGGTCGGAGATCAGATCCTCGGTGCAATCCTTTTGTCTTCCTCTGGAACTGTGAAAGACATCTACGCCGCAACAGGTTTTGCCCTCAAGACAGCATGCTGCATTTGTTGTTCTTCTACTCAGTGTTTACTGGTGGCTTGCAAACTAGATTTGAAGGTATATGTACCACCCACTGTGCTGGGTGTGTTGATGCTGCTCTTGTTAAGTCAATGAAAGCAGTCTGGCTTTGTATTATTGGCACTATTTATTGCTTATAATTTTAATTATCGGAATGTTGCATAATTATAAAAAATACCCCATTATTGGCCGATAATTTATCGGCCCAATATATATCGTGCATCCCTATATGTTTATAAGATAACCTGACAACCCATTTTTGGAGGCTTTCTGCTAATCCTCATTTCAGCTCATTTGAAATAAAGAACAGAATGGTTCAGATTAAAAATTTAATTATATTGATTGATTAATTAGTTTCATAAATGTTGACTTCTATTGGGCTTATAAATATTTGTTTACATATTAGGCTTCAAATTTTCCAGATTGTGACGAGTTTTACAATAGATTTTCACCCATATACATGAAAAACATACAAAGCATATGTTCTCAGTATGTACGAAAGCAACAACAGCAGCAGCAGCAGCAGCAGCAGCAAGATGTACTGACGAAGTAATACTTTCACCACAGCAGGCGAAATAGATTCACAATCACTTGTGGGCAGATTGATATCTCTGAATTTTAACTGACTTGGTGTTATACTGTAACCATCAAGTGTTCACTTATTTTTTTGTGACAGTGTAACAGGTGCAGGAGCGAGTGTCAGGAGACGTTATCAAACAGATTCTTGATACACAGGACTGAAGTTATACAGGCCTGTATCAGCTGCTGCGATTAGTAAGTGTTGACCTGACTGATAACAACTACACTAATGTTTTTATAGCAAAAATACAAAGGGAACATAGTTACACATATTTGTGCTAATATTTGCAACATGCACACTGGAACACTGGAAAATACGTAATCATGTTTCCCTCTACAAACATTATAATACCAGTGGATGGTGCAGCAGGATTAACTATTGTTTACTTTAACATCATATCGAAAGCTACGTTGGCTCGTAGTGTCCCTGTAACCTTCCACAAAGCCTAACGTCAGCTGACTCTGTTTCTCACCCGCCTTGCTGTTTTTCAACCTTTCCCATCTGCTGCCTGTGACCGGAGCTGCAGCTGTGTCTGCTGCAGTGCAGAACATCCTCCTTATTGCCCGCAACGAAGCCATTTCACCAGGTTTTATTCACCGGTGCGGTCACCTCCACGCTGAAGAAACATCCGGAACTCACCTCACATAGAGCCAAAATGGCAACCGAAAAGCGACTCATTTTTTATCTTCCGACAGAAAGCAATACCTCGCAAACGTTCCACTTGCGATCACTTGAACACAAAGCGTATTAGTAACAAAGAATACATGAAGTTAAGTTTTTTGTAAATTGGAAATGCATCCGATGTGTCGCTTAACTGTAAATCACACAGCACACACTGCATTTTAGTAAAAATAAATAAAAACTAATTTTTAAAAGAAGATCGTTCAAGTGACAGCTTTGTTTACGTGGTGACGTGTACCGGAAGACATGATAACCTGACCTGCATGACAGACAGCAGCTGCGATAGTTATGAACTACAGTTGAGAGCAGTGTACGAATATTTTTTTGTGTGAGTTTATTAACACTACATGGGCTGTGGTGTTTTATATTTACGTCAGCTACCTACACATCTTCAAACAGATGAGAAACAAGAGTGCTAGCATCAGATTAGCCTAGCTATTGTTACCGTCACGCATCATCATCTCCAGGGACATCCTGCTGTACAAGAACAGGTTGGTTTTTATTTTTTTCTGATCACGACCCAGAGGCAGAGTATCAACGTTAGAGCAGAACTGTAGGGTAAGATGGGTAAGATGCCCTCATCCCATTAATTCCTCTCCTATCCAATAAATGACACTAAATCTGCTCTGAACAACTGCGGTCCATTGACCCGTCATTTGTCAGCCGTCGTCAAGCCAGCCGCGACACGGATTTTTAATGCGTGTCTATTCATGGTATTACGGTAGGGATGGTGGAAACAGCCAGGCGTGACAGAGACGTCCGTTTTTCAGCAATGCATTCTCCCGTTTCTCCCTTTGATATACCAAATATACAGTGCATTGTCTTGCACATTATATGAATTTCAATTACAAAGTGTCAGAAGTTTTTCTGCTGTACTGTAGAGCTCTAAATTAAAAATATCGACAAACTTTTTTTTTCCTGTCACTAAATAAAATGCTTATTATATTATTCGTTTTATTAATCCACTCCTATTCTGGGTGACCCCTACAATGGACATATCATAATTTTCATGCAATTTTACTGTGGAGTTTATGAGAAATTTAAAAGGTAAAATCTGCTCAAAATACAACAAAATGTAATCAAAGTTTCCTAATATTAAATATTAATTAAAAAAAAAAATCCTCAATAGGTAACATAAATCTTTCAATTGATTCTTGTTGTAGGTGACCCCCACTACATCCAGATCAATTTTCATGCAATTTTACTGTAGAGTTTATGAGAAACTTAAAGGTAAAATCTTGTAAACAATACTCTATAGTATAATCATAATGTCCTCATATTAAATATAATTTTTAAAATAAATCCCTAATAGGTTACATAAATCTTTAAATGGATTGTTGTTGTAGGTGACCCCAACTACATCCAGATTAATTTTCATGCAATTTTACTGTAGAGTTTATGAGAAATTTAAAGGTAAAGTCTGCTCAAATTGCAACTGAATATTTAATCATTTCCTCTGTAGCTGTCTTGCTACATTCGTGAGTTTTCCCCAGCACAAACACACAGATCCTCTGTCAGGTTTTTTTTAAAATTTAATTTTATATACTTTATTAATCCCCGAGGGGAAATTCAATTTTTCAATTTTTCACTCTGTTTGTCAATTACACACAGGTCCGAACACACACACATGCACAAACTGGACCTATACATGCACTAAGTGGAGAGATGTCAGAGTGGGCTGCCCATGACAGGCGCTCCGAGCGGTTGGGGGGTTCGGTGCCTTGCTCAGGGGCACCTCGGCAGTGCCCAGGAGGTGAACTGGCACCTCTCCAGCTACCAGTCCACGCTCCATATTTTGGTCCGAACAGGGACTTGAACAAGCGACCCTCCGGTTCCCAACCCAAGTCCTTATGGACTGAGCTACTGCCGCCCCAAATATATTAATATATAATATATTAATATATTATTATTATTATTATTGTTAATATATAATATATTATTATTATTATTATTATTATTATTATTATTATATATAAATAATATTAATTAAAAAAAAAAAGATTCTTCATAGGTTACATAAATCTTTTAATGCATTCTTGTTGTAGGTGACCCCCACTTTGACCAGACCAATTTTCATTCAGTTTTACTGTAGAGTTTATGAAAAATTTAAAGAGAAATTTCTGTTGAAACACATATATAAATAAGATACAATAGAATAAAAATAAGATTTCCCTTTGAGTTTGCTGTGCACTGTCTACAGTGCATTTAGAAAGTATTCAGACCCTCTTCACTTTTTTCACTTTTGTTATGTTGCAACCTGATGCTGCAATCGTTTAATTCATTTTTTTTTTACATTAATCTACACTCAGAACCGCATAATGACGAAAATATAATAATAATGGACAGACTCCAAATGACAAAAAATATTGCCGTAAAAAGTGTAATTTGCGTCACAACAATATAAATGATAGAGGAAAATATGAAACAATAGACATTTTTCTCTCGTTACACGATATATATCGTCATATCGCACAGCCCTATAAAATGATTATGCACTTCTTGTCAGTTTACTCTCGTTGTCTTGTGTTGCAAATCAAACGCACCCAGAAGCTGCGCATGCGCAAAACTGCCCCCTCCTCTTCTTTGCAAATCCTCTCTAGCCCAATCAGGTTGGATGGGGGCTGTCGGTGGACAGTAGGGCTGCTCAATTAATCGAATTTTAATCTAGATTACAATTTGGGCTTTCAACGATTATGAAAACAAAATAATCGACATAAAACGATAGGGCTGGGCAATATGACCAAAATCTCATATCACGATATAGGTCATTTCATATCCCGATAATGATACATATCACAATATAGCACATTTTAATCCAATGAATAAAAAGTTGCCCAGAAGAGTAATTTATCAATGTGATCCATGCAAAAGATGGACAGACTCCAAATGACAAAAAATATTGCCGTAAAAAGTGTAATTTGCGTCACAACAATATAAATGATAGAGAAAAATATGAAACGATAGACATTTTTCTCTCGTCACACGATATATATCGTCATATCGCACAGCCCTATAAAACGATTATGCACTTCTTGTCAGTTTACTCTCATTGTCTTGTGTTGCAAATGAAACGCACCCGGAAGCTGCGCATGCGCAATACTGCCCCCTCCTCTCCTCTCCTCTATTCACTCCACGAGCCAGTCAAGTAGGTGAAATTGAATAATGTGAGGGGCAGGTGATCGCCGAAGATTTAAAAAAACAGCGTGCGGAAAATATCAGAGGGAGAGCGAGAGAGGTTGGTGTGTGTGTGTGTGTGTGTGTGCGCACATCAGGGCCGAATTCTGCCGTGCGCGATACAGAGAGCAGAGGAGAATTGTAAACGTGCGACCATGTGGAGACAGAAATGACATGCCGTCGTGTAAATAAGTCATCACTTGCGCCGCATAATTGTTTGCATAATCGTGATTTCTATTTTAACCAAAATAATCGTGATTATGATTTTTTCCATAATCGAGCAGCCCTAGTGGACAGCCATTTTCAGGTCTCTCCAGAGATGTTCGTTGAAGTTCACAAGTCAGGGCTTTGGCTGGACCACTCCAGAACATTCACAGAGTTGCCCCTAAGCCACTTCTGTGTTGTCTTGGCTGTGTACTTAGGGTCATTGTCATGTTGGAAGGCGAACTGTCAGCCCAGTCTGAGGTCCTGAGCGCTGTGGAACAGACTTTCATTGAGGATCTCTCTGTACTTTGCTCCATTCAACTTTCCCTCATTCCTGACCAGTCTCCCAGGCCCTGCTGCTGAAAAACACCCCCACAGCATGATGCTGTCACCACCATGTTTCACTGTTGGGATGGTATTTGGCAGGTGATGAGCTGTGTCTCGTTTCCTCCAGACATAAGGCTTAGAATTGAGGCCAAACTGTTTTATTTTGGTTTCATCAGACCAGAGAATCTTGTTAACAGTCTGAGAGTCCTTCAGGTGCTTCTTTGCAAACTCCAAGCGGGCTTTCATGTGTTTTGCACTGAGGAGAGGCTTCCGTCTAGCCACTCTGCCCAGATTGATGGAGGGCTGCAGTGATGGTTGTCCTTCTGGAACTTTGTCTCATCTCCACACAGATCTCTGGAGCTCAGTCAGAGTGACCATTGGGTTCTTGGTCACCTCTCTTACTAAAGCCCTTCTCCCCCGATTACTCAGTTTCTCCAGATGAGCAGCTCTTGGTAGAGTCCTGGTTGTGCCAAACTTCTTCCATTTGAGAATTATGGAGACCAGTATGCTCTTGGGAACGTTCAGTGCAGCAGAAATTTTTTTGTAGCCTTCCCCATATTTGTGCCTTGCAACAATTCTGTCTCTGAGCTCTGCAGGCAGTTCCTTTGTCCTCATGGCTTGGTTTTTGCTCTGATATGCATTGTCACCTGTGAGGCCTTTTTATAGAGAGGTGTGTGCCTTCCAAATCATGTCCAATCAATTTGATTTGCCACAGGTGGAGTCCAGTCAAGGTGTAGAAACATCTCTGCAATGGTCAAGGGGAATGAGAGGCACCTGAGCGGAATTTCAAGTGTTGCTGCAAAGGGTCTGAATACTTATGCAAATGTGATATTTCAGTTTGTCCTTTTTAATAAATTAGTGAAAAATTCTAATATTCTATTTTCACTTTGTCATTATGGGGCACTGAGTGTAGATTAAAGTGAAAAAAAAAAAAGAATTTAAATGATTGTAGCATCAGGCTGCAACATAACAGAAGTGACAAAAGTGAAGGGGGTCTGAATACTTTCTGAATGCACTGTATATAAATTAAAGGTTCAACTTTTTAGAGCACATAAAAGTGTTCTCTTACACCTCCTTTTACATTATAGTTTTGTTGATTTCTTTCTTTTTTCCCAAACACAACCTACTTTTGTCTACAGGAGGACAGCATTTCAGTCATTGTATTATACCCTCTAACATCAGACTGCTCAACACCCTTGAAACACCCTGGAAATTTTAGATTTATGCATGTGCATTACTTTTAGTAAAAAAATTACATCTATCGATCTGTCGACCTATCTGACTATCTGATGTTAGTGGGTACAATACAACAACTGAAGTGCTGTACTCTTGCAGACAAAAGTAGGTTGTGTCTGGAAAAAAGAAAGAAATCTACAAAACTATGATGTAAAAGGAAGCATAAGAGAACAAATGTGACAGACAACTTAAAAACCTAAAGCAGTACACTGTAAAATATGAAGTTCACATAGGCTGAAAGACTTTGATGTTATTGTCTTTGTTTTTGCTCTCTGTCAATCTGTCTGTACATCTGTGTCTTTGCATTGGCCTAGCACAACTAAAATATTATATGACAGTGTTATTAAAAGTATTCAACAGAAAGATTGCTAAAAAACCCCTCAACATTACTTAATTGAGGACAGGGAAGACATGCTAGCATAACATTGGATTTCATTTAGATTATGAACATGATAGTTTATATGCTCTCAAAAATGGAACTTTACTTTCACAGAAAATTAGGTATATAAACAGTGCACAGCAAGCTGAAAAGGAAATTTATGGGTCAGTG